TATGCAATGTTCTGCTTTCATATCACACCGCTCCAAATAAATAAATTTAAGTGTTTCTGATGATTGTTGAAGTCCTTCACCGATATCAAAAATTGAATTTCCCATATGTTCATTGCCTGATAAGTCTATTGCTTCTATTTTGGAACATTTTTTCAAAAAATTTCCCAATTCTATACATTCTTCAAGTTTCAAAAAACAGTGCTTAAAAGTTATATACTTTAATGTTTCTGATGATTTTGCCAGTCCTTCACAAATACTAAGAAAGCAAGTTTTCATGGTTTTGCTAGTAGTTTTATACATTGTTCTTTTTTGATATAAATACAGCTCATAGTTATAACATGGTTATAACTACAACAACCACAATAAAAGTGGTTATTACAATGGTTACAACATAATTTTTAAACAATTTATGAAATAACATTCAGAATGGAAAGTGTAAACAGAAATATAATAACTGTGTAGTTCATATTTATGTTTAGTAACAGGATGTTACAAGGTTCAACATTTTGTTCAACAATGTTTAATAATATTCTACTCATCATTTTAGAGAGGAAATATATGAAATATTGATATTTTAATGTGATAAGTCTAGTTATAGAAAGGAGTAAGCATCACTTATGTTCTGAAAATTTACCCTAAACATTGAGTAGTACCATTGATAACTAGATTTTAAAGTCATAAAATTTTTTTGTGCATGCGCATGTGTAATTTAACAGTTGACAAAATAAAAATAAAATGGTGAAGCCATCAAAAGCAACAAGAATATATGTTATCAAAAACTTTAGATAAACAATAAAGGGGTCCTGGAAGAATATCCCATGGAATGAACATTCAAAACCAGATCAAGGCATAGAAATTGGTGATGTGGCTGGAAAATTAAGAAATTCAATTATACATAAAAAATAAGATAGCAAAAGTCCAAGTGACTGCAATGATAATATTTCCGATGAGCCAGAGTTTGGTGATTACGATGGTAATTTTGATAGATGTGAGATGAATGAAAATGAAATGGATGAGAATTTAAATGAGAATGCAATACATGCAGATATAAATGAATATGCAAATGAGGGTATCATGGATGAAAATATAATTGACAGTGGAACATTAAAGAGCGGAAATATTGACAAACTTGCCAGAAATTATGAACAACAACTTTTGAAAGTTTCAAAAAATAATTGAAAGTGCAAGTTAGCTGGGAAAAGATTTTATAATAAATGATATATTTTCATTCTCATTGAAAGCCAAAAATTCAAAAAGCAGCAACTGGGTGTGCAGTAAGAGGAACAAAACATGAAGATGCAAGGAAAAATGTTTATAAAGGGAATCTTAGAACATATTCATTGTAAAAATGACAAACTAAACACTGACATCAGAATCAGAAAAGATTTAAAAGGAATTCGAAAAACTGGCACAATTTCGAATGGAAAAACATTAGCAGAAACAATTATCTTAAAACACAAAGATCAAAGAGATTCTATGACGGGGTCGGGAAAAAACGTCCTTGGGAAAAAACGTCCCAGGGCGGGAAAAAACGTCCTAATTGTTGGGAAAAAACGTCCTATGCCTGGCTAAAGATATACTTGGCATAATTATTTATACTTATAATCAGAAATGTTTTTCTCTTTGCAGTTTATTTCATTTATAGAATAAAATATTAATATTTTTGAAGAAAGGGATATGTATTGTGATGTTTTTACCAGTTTTCTCTGAATTATGTAATGCTATTAAAAGAGAAATGAGTTATTTCCTTGTCTTGCCTGTAAGTGAAAGATAAATTTTGCATTTCTTGGCATATTTTCAGGCTAATTTGTTTTTTAAGCATTGAAACTCTGGTATTGATTTAGTTTATTGAATATTACAAGATTATACATTTTTTAAGAACACTTCTTTCCAGTGAGTTATTATTTATAATTTTTGTATAGGCAGCCATATTTGATAGTTGATTCAATTAATCTATTCAAAATAATTCTCAGTGTCTTAACATACTTTTTACTTTATTCTAGTAAGTTTTAAACTTTGTATAACATTCTTAGCTTTTTTCATTTTTAATACATTTTAATAAACATATATTCATTATTAATTATTATATTCTCAGTATATTGCCATTGGTTCCCAAAATAGAGCAATCTTTTTTAAAATTCAAATATCTTTTCCCACTACTTGTTTTTCCCAACCTTGGGACATTTTTTCCTAACCTTGGGATGTTTTTTCCCACACTGGGACGTTTTTTCCCACCCTGGGACGTTTTTTCCCAGGGACGTTTTTTCCCAAGGACGTTTTTTCCCAAGGACGTTTTTTCCCATACTCGTGCAAATGGAAACTTGCAAGATAGTTTGTAATATTTTATCAAACTGTGTGTTAGTTTTTTACAATTGAAAAGATGTTTTAGTTTTGATATTTTTTTCACATTTTCAATTATCTCTAGAGGATTTAATTTTAAGAAAGATAATTCAGGATGTTGGCTAAAATCCAATGGTAATAGCAGTGTCCTGACACTTATTCATGTATTGCAAAAATTTACATTAAATAGAAAAGCATTTTATTAAAATATTCCAATTAACATTTGTATCAAATAGTTTGACATTTTTCAAATTTTTCTCAATACTTTGAAACAAAATGACTATTTCATAGTCATTCAATGTTTCATGTTTTAAAATTAATTTTGTATTTGTATTCAAACCTCTCTGTAAAATTTCTTTTATATTGTCACTAAAGCTAAGATTTTTTTTAGCAATTTCATTTTTTTGCAAAATAGTTTCAAAAGTTGATGGAGATTCGTCTTTGATAAATTCCATTACATTAAATATACAAATACTATCCATTTCTTTGAAAAGATCTTTTGTAAAACCAAAAAAATTTTGTAACCAATAAAAGACACTTTTTGTATTTGTAAACTTTTGAATTAGATATTTAGTAGCAAAAAATTCTTTGAATGATTCATCATAAAATTTTAATTGCTTTCTATCTGATGAGTAAGGGAAAATTTCTGCCACATCATTCAGATACATGTTAACAAATGATTCTTCTTTCCAGTCTTCATCTAAAATTATTTGGGATTTAGAAAGATTTAGAAAGCACATTTCATAGAATTTATAAAAATTATTATTGTTTTGTGAACTTGTGATGAATCCAGCCTTTTTTTGCATTGTATCAATTAATTCATTGTATAAATCAAAGAGATTTCTATCACATATAGTTTCTTCCCTTTTAAACCAAGTTTCAACAATTACCATTGCTAATTCTGGGATTTGACACAAATTTTGTATTTTTCTATATCTTTTCAAAATTGTGTTTATGAATTGACATTCTTTATTATTATTTTCCACATAACAATTTCTGTTCTTAGCATAACTTTTCAGAAATGACTGAAATTGAACAGTATTCCATCCCATTAGTTCAATTACAATGTCGTATGTACATTTAATCTGGTTTGCTCTACAATTTCTAGACCATATTACTGTTTGAATATTGCAATGTGAATCATGGATAAAATTGTAAAATTGATGGCCCTGAAGATGGAATTGATCGCCTCCATCCAGAAATAGTATGACATCTTGTCTTCTTTCAGAAAATATTGATTGAACTATACTTTCAGTAATATAAGGAATATTTTTGAAATTTTGTAAATATATTTCCTGATAGATATTTCTTTCATGGCTGATTTTATTCAAATTAACAAATATTATCAACTTTTCTTTATCAACATTCCATTTTTTATTTGCCCATTTATATATTAAATATTCAAATTGAAAACTTTTACCAATTCTTGCTTCTCCTTGAATTAAAATTTTCTTGAAACCTTTATAGAATATATGATAAAAGTTATTATAATTGATGTCTGCTAAATCAAGATCATCATTAAAAAAGTTACTATCTATTATTTCAAAACATGCTTCTGTGTTATGTTGTTTGGCTTGAATATTTAAAAACTCTTTTTTTCTCTCCTGTTGAGTATCATGAATGAGAGTTTTCCAAATTTTTTCTCTATCCTTAATACATTCAGCTAGTAAACTGGCTTCTGAATTATTCAAGTAGTTTACGACATCAATTACATAACCCAGTGGTTTATTCTCAAGAATATTCAACTCAATTGCCAATTTTCGCTCTTCACATTTGAGGATTTCTGATCTATCCATATTTGAATTATGATGTAAATTTTTAAAATTTTCCTGGTTTTTGTATAATTCTTTAATATCATTCTTATATAATTGAAAAGACAATTTTCCCAAAAAATCCATAATTCTATTATCAACAAAATCCATTTTATTAGATGAATCATATACTTAACCTCATCCTAATCCTGCATAAGCAGGTTGTCTGCCTCAAACATTGGAAATAGCTTCTCCTCAATTATTTCTTGGTATAAATTGCTATCCATATACCCATTATATAACTTTATAGCTCTTGTCCCATCAGCTTTTATACACCCCCATATTGATATTGATGAATTTGCTGTACAAACAGCTTTTTTGGTGTATTTTGGATCATACTGTTTATGACTCCCCCTATGGACCCAAATTCTCCTTTTTGGATACAATTCAATCTGACTTTCATTGGAAAATATAATTTTGTTTACATCTTCTTGACTCTTATTTAACATAGACAAACAAAAAGATTTTCTATTTCTTGCATGGCAAGGTTTTAGCCCTGGCTTACTTGTCACAACATAGCGTTTAAGGTCATTTTCTTGCAAAATCTTTTTGCATGCCGATAGAGAAATTTTGGAACCTAATCCTGAATGTTTAAGCTATGCCTTGCAAATCTATCTTCCCAGATACTCCTATCAAGTTTAACCTCAGCTATATATTTAAACTAACAAAATCCATCAGTTACATGAAATTATTATAATTATACAAAACAATGGTATTAGTTAAGAAAGTCATTTTCAGAGTCATCCACAGCTATGCATAAATATTCTGATATTTTAAATGGTTTTAAAATTTGATCAACATTTATCAGCCAACATTCTTCTTTGTTTCTTTCCACTCTTTGCCCCTTTATTAAGTTGTTATCAACATCAATTGAAATAGACTTTGATCCAATTTTCCCATCAGATTGAACTTCTGAGTGAAAATTAAATTTTTTTTCCCAATATCACCAATAAGTCCATCCATTTGTTTATAATCTTTAGGTGAAAGTTTAAAACTTACATCCAAGTGAATTTCAGATAAAGAGTGGATAGACTTTTGTATTTGAATTATATTCCCTGGATATACTAAAGATTTTATAAAGATATGATTTCTAGTGATCAAATATTCAAATTTTTTTGACTTAAAAGTGAATTTTTGCAAATCAGCTATCCAGTTTACTGGTTGTTCATTGTCAAAAATGATATTATTTGTTGAAATTGTAATTCTTCCAGAATCAAATTTGAAAATAATCCTATGCATGTAATGATCATCAATAAGCTGTCCATAAACCTGTATTCCATTTAAACTAAAACCAGCAATGTATAAATATTCTCCAGGTGAACCAGTGATATCATAACATAGAGACTTAGTCATCTGACTGGGATAATCCACAACCATTTGTTGAAAATGTGAATCCCCCCATGCAAAAGACCATGGATCGCCATTAGGTGTAAAATACATCGGAATATCAACACTGAACACAAAAGAGTTGGCTGCAGCTCAAATTAGTCTCATCAATACTGACTTTGCAGAGCCAACTTTAGTTACAACAATATTATCTATACCATATTCAGGGAAGACATTTTCAGTTTTATCTAAAGTTGCTTTATCAGGATTAGAGAGGCTATAACTAAAATAATATAAAATATTAACATTAACTCTTTGATTTCTCTCTCCTGAGAATAATTATGAAATTATTTTGTTTTTCATTTACAAAACTTTGGAAATAGTGCTTACTTGCAATTCCATTGTGAATTTCCAGTATTAATGAAAACACTTTTTGATGATGATTCCATACTTGAGATTTCAACCTTCATGTAAAATAGATTATCTTTATCATAGTCTAGACAAGAAAATTAAAAATATGTGTAATGTAATGACAAGATTTTAATTACATATATTATTGCCAATGGACTTCTCTCATATTAAATTTTTGTATGATGCAACATTTTTTAACTTTTAAATTTATTTAGTAAATCTTCTTTGTGATATTAAATGCCCTTAATTGCTGTACAACTTTGGTTATATTTTACATGCTTGAACTCTATTATTTTATGCAACTTATACATGTACATCTTAAAACCTACGCCAGAAAATGCTATAACATTGGCCAAACATAAGTCTGATTAGTCAGCTTGAAGACTCATCTTTAATCACCAATAAAGGTTTGCCCAAGTTATAATTTAATTAACTTGCCTAGGGTGTGGCCAAGTTATAATTCAATTAACCTTCCTAAATGTTGAACCTTGTAACATCCTGTTACTAAAGATAAATATGAACTACACATTTCGGCAACTGTAAAGTGATTATTGGATGTCAGAGGCAAACCTCAAAGTATATAAATCCTCACTATTCTCATTTGGCATGCAGCTTCCATCTTAATAATTTAGAATACCTAAATTTTCAAGGATGTCAAATATCTAAGGATATGAGTGGAGAATTTGGAAAATTTATTGGAAATCAAACAAAACATAGAAGATTGGACTTTTCTGGTTTAGATTTGAGTGGGTAATTGGGAAAAAATTTATTTAGTAATATCACAGACAAGTTTTGTAATTTAGAATACCTATATTTTAAGGGATGTCAAATATCTGAGGATATGAGTAGAGAATTCGGAAAATTCATTGGAAATCAAAAAAAACTCACGGAATTAGACATTTCTGGTTTAGATTTGAGTGGGCAATTGTGAAAAAAGTTATTTGTAATATCCCAGGCAAATTTTGTAATTTGGACTCTCTGGATTTTTTCACATAAACTATCACAGTTGTAAATAAAAGAAGTTGTGCATGTAGATATAATTATATATCAATACTTAAACTTTAGATTTGGGGGTTCATTAGAAGGACTTTTTTTTTTAGGAATTGGACTGGTGCAAATATAGAAGTACTTATATTTCATTTTTAGTGGTGTAACCTTAACAAGACTTTTTTTGTAGTGTTAGCTTTTAGTACTTTAGAAAGAAATTCCTGCAATTACAATACAGCAAAGTACAAATATTATGCAGTTGACAGCACACAATTCAACTTTAAGGAATGATATTTTGGTTTATGAAAGTGACAAAACCAGAGGAAAGGAAGTAGATAAGTATCTTATTAAAATATATGAATTAATGTTGAGAATTAAGGGTAGTGAAGCCAAGATTGATGGTAATAGCTTTTTGAAGGATGTGGTAGAAAACGGCCATAAATCTATGGTTTTACCTTAACCTTAACCTAGCCCTTGTTTTTGCCTAAACTTTTTCTGGCATTCAAGATAAGGCTGTGGTAAAGACAATTGTAAGTCTTTTAATTGATGCTAATGAGAAACCTAATATTACTTTGCTGAGACTTTATTCTAGTAGCAGAGATACTTGGGCATTTAAGAGGAACTTTCAAACTGCTTGTGAATTGAACCTTTGGGACACAGAGGAGAAAAGAATTCGAATGCTGAGAAAATACAGAACTGAAACAACCAGAGATGTTATTGAAAGCTTACCCTCCAGGTCTACTGAATATGAAATTTGGGATGCATTGGATGAAGAAGTCAATCCAAATCCTATGGCTTTTAAAAAAGACAGATTGAACAGTTTAATGATGAAACTGTTCAAAGTATTGTTAGAAGAAGTAAAGAGATTGTAGAAAATGCAAAGAAAAAATGTACCACCATACAAGAAGGTAAATAGTATCCAATGCAAATTTGTAATTCAAAAACAACCCATTTCAAGGCTCATTTTTCTAGTACATAATTTATCATGTACAATTTTATCACTTTACTCCAATCATCTATCTAAAGTTGCAGTTCCCAGCCTAAGCCATCATTATATCTTAAATGTCACAAGTCCAAATTCTCCAAGAAGAGAATGAGGAGAATCAGAACTGCAGTAATTTACACTTTTTGGGGATATTCATCCTTCTTCAGGTGAGAGAGGAAGGTATTTGAAAAAAACTATATAAAATAAGATTATTGTATCTTTTTGATTCATATAGTATAGACCATTGGTCAAAATTCTTAGCGGTTTTCTATTGGCTGTTGCCACAACATCTTGTTTTTTTAAATATAGTAAATTTCTTGTTTTGCATTTAAGTTATTAAATAATTTTGTACTAAAACTATTATCAACTGGCAGAAATTCTTTGGAATGAATGCCTTAAACTATCTTGAAAATGTCAAGAAAAGGTGAATCTTATCACAAATCATATTTAAGATAAGATAAAGAAGGAAGAGATTTTTTATATTGATATAATAAACAAAAAGAAATGACAGATCTTCAAAGAATTACTTATATGCCAATTTTTCTTTTTTTATTGGATATTATCAAAAATGGAGAGAATGATATTTTCATGAAAATAACATTTGAAATATTCAAGAAAAATATTTATACTATTAACCTTTTAGAAAGATTTCTTGAACAGTTTCATATGATATTTTGCTACTCCATGCCATTGATTCATCAATTTTACCTTTTCCCAACTTACTTGAAATTATTGGTGTATTCACCAATATAACAATTGTTGTAAATGGATGATGGAGAATAATCTACACTTATGTCTACTATTTTTCCATCAGCAGCAATTTAAACTGGATTAATATAGGCTTTAATTTCTCCTATTGTAAACTAGACAACTGCTAAATGAAACCATTTGTTATATAAGTCAAAATTCATGATTATAACTGTGGATTTTTTATGAGTTCTATCTATAAATTTGGTTGTATAAATGTCTTATCCTTCACTCTAAACAAAAAAAAGATTTGAGCATAACTCTACCAAATGCTTGTGTACATTAGTGACCTAGATGTGTACAATGTAAAAATTAAAAATCACCAAAATTTTTGATGAAATACTATACTGTAATAGTATTGAGCAGCGCTCTGCATACCCAAGATACAACTTTTAACTACTTCTAAAGTTAGTTGTTAATAGACTTTTACAACTTAACTTGAATATTTAACTAATTATCATAAACGTAATATATAATCAATATTACTTGTTTTTATCATATTTTACCTATATTTTGAAATTGTAGATTGTTGAATAGTATCAAATATACAATACTTTTATAGATAACCAAATGCTTTTGTTTTTGCCATAAAATCTATTTTACACTACAATATCTCATTTTTGTGATATATAAGAACAGCATTATGCTGACTTTTGTCTATTTTTGTGTGTTGGACAATCCAAGTTCTACCAAAAATTGTTACATCTTATGCAATTTTCTGACCTACTCAAAATATAGAACAACAAATCTCCAGAATAAAGAAAACGTAACAATTATGGAAGCATATTTGGACTTTCCTTTATCTTAAATGCTACTTTTGTTTGTCTGTATATTTATGATCTGTGAACCATCAACTATTGGAAAGGTATATAAACCATGCAAATTTAACAGTAGACAGTTCAGTCTTATAACTGTCAGCTTGTTTAGAACTAGAAACTTGTTTACTCAATAAATATTCTTTGAATGAAATACTGGCATTGTGTTTATTAATTTTTTGAGAAGTTTCATTTTTTTAAGACTATCTGTGGACAAACTTGAAAGGTTCTTTTTGTTTGACTACTATGGTAAATTGGTAAATAATTGGAAAGGACAAATTTGATCGTGATGAGCTAGAAGTTCCAACAATTACAATTCAACAAAGTACATTTAGAAAATTATTATTAGTTTTTAAGGGTATTTAATACTTTTGTCTCTTTTGTAGCATTTTCCATAAAAGCATTCCTAAAGTATATATATCCTTCTTTTCTCCACAGTTCTCCTTAATATACAATTCCTTTATGGATAAATAAATCTTGAAATTATTGGGCTGAAAAAGATGATAATGTAAAATTTAATCTACTGATTTTCCATAGATTATAAATACTCAACTTGAACAACAATATCCATTATTGAAAATTGTCCATTTAGACAAAAGTTATGTCTATGAATTGAGGAAATTGAATGTAAAATTGTTGAAAAACATTTAAAATATTTATAATCTCTATAAAATTCATATGTTATATGAATTCCAGAAAATTTGTTTGTCCTGAATAAAATTAGATGATAGTTTTCTTGATTTTTTAGGAAACTTAAAACTAGAAGAGAGGAAAAAAAATATATTTTTAAAAAATGATTAAAAATGTTAATTCTTTTTTTTTTTATTTTACAATTCTGAAACCATTCATTTCTTGCATTTTTCAATAAATTCATCCTTTTCAAACAAAACAAAATATTTTACTTGATAAGTGAAATGAAGACATGTAATTGAACAATTAACCTCTTTCTAGCAGATTTGACCTTAAATTTTGTAATGGTATTTGTTATCTCTTGAAAAGTGTGGTTTGTTGTATTGTAATTGTGGGAATTTCTGCTTCTTCAGAACAGTATTCGTCCTTTCCAATCATTTATCAATTTACCAAAGTACTGGTCCAATTAGAACCTTTCAAGTTCATCCACAAATAGTCTTAACAAATGTAATTTTGGTAGAAATAATTCAACAAAATACCAGTATTTCATCCAAAGAATATGTATTGAGTAAATGAGTTTCTAGTTCTAAACAAGTAAGTTTAAACAACCAGTTAATGGTTAAAGAACTGAACTGACAAGCTGAGGAAATGCATTTACTTTTATACATTTTCCAAAGCTTGGGTTCAAGTGGTCAAAGGATTACAAAGTTGAAATCTGATAGTCTCATAATTCTCATGTAACAAAAATATGAAAGACTGTTATATCACACATATAAAATATAATGCTAAGATTAGGGCCACATGCCAAACATGTGCCACAGCACACAGGCCTGTCTCATCAGCATCTGGTGTTTGACCTGAATCTTTTCCATGTTCTTTGTTCCTTTGTTAATTCCCAAATAGCCACCATCTGTTACAGTGAAAGAGTCTATTTCTTACGAAATAGAGTTCTTTCTAAAGTACTAAAAGCTAACTCTACAAAATAAAAGTCTTTCTAAAGTTCCACCACTATAATTCCTACGAAATATAAGTATTTCTATAGTTGCACCAGTCTAATTCCTATAAAATAGAAGTCTTTCTAATGTACCCTTATATCTAAGTGCACAAAAAGACAAGATATAGGGATTTATAATTGAACTTAGAGGTAAAATTGTAACCATTATCCATTCAAATTCATAATTTTCCACTGGAACTTTTGAAAATTGAATTAAAAAATGTAAATAACAAATAATTAATCATTTTCTATAAAATGTTTATAAGTGTTTTTTTTTAATACCTAAAAGAGAGACAATTGTCCAAGTTAACATATGACTAACAGTGGAAATAACAGCATTCATGTTAACACTTCTTTGATTAGACAACTTTC